GCACGGGGGCGGGGTCTCTCGGGCGAGCCCAGGCTCTCACGCTCTCGGCGGCGGCGGCAGCAGCACCCGGAGCTCAGCTCGCTGTCTCGATCGCTCTGTGCGGGGCTCTCGCCTCACTCCAGAGAGAGGGGCGGGAGGAAAGCGGCGCGGACGGATGACGCAAGTCACCTAGCAACCGCTCTCCTCCCCCATCCCTTCTCTTTCCGCTCCGCGGCTGCCTCCGCTGGCCTCTTTTTCCCTTTCCAATCACCCCGCCCTGGGCGACTCTGGCGCGCGCTGATGACGCCCGAGAGGAAGAGGAAGTCGGGGCTCGGCGAGCGGGTGGGTGCGCCCCGGGCCGCGGGACTCGCCGCCGCTGCTGCCGCCGCCTCTACGGCCGCGTCAGAACAGAAGAGAGGAAGGGGAGGAGCCGAGTGGAGCCCAAGCTGCCGCGTGATCTTATCCCCGACCCGAGGGCGGCGGAGAGGGCTTGCTCTTTAGCGGTCTCCTTCAGGGCAGGTGGTGACTGCTCCTTTGGGAGCAAAGAGGAGGCCCAGGCCGCGCGGCCATACTCGGGCGCGCACCACCCGAAGGTGAGGTATTTGGCCCCAAAAGGCCCTTGGAAAAGCTGTTCTGAGCCAAAAGTTGTCCTACATTCTGATCCTCTGCACCTGTTCCCGGGAGCGAGCGTCGCACCCTTCCTGTGGTGTGGGGCGAGACCCAGCGCCCGATCACGTGTGGTCGAGCCGAGCAAATGTTTGGTAAATGAATGAATGAATGAATGAATGAATGGATGAGTACTCGCGGAGCTCAGAAGAGTGGATGAAGTGCAGGCTCTTTGTAAAACTGCATAGCATTGTAAAGATGAGAGTCGTAATGCATCCCCCACTCCCACCGAAAGGAAATAACGGTGCGGCCTGAGTACAGAATCACAGTCTGAGTCTTTAATGCAAAAGGAAGTAAATTGCCCGGGCAAGGGAAAGGGAGCCATCCTCCCGGAGATTGTAAAAAGAGTGTTTGACAATTTTGCCTTGCTTTTCGTGATCATTTGTGCTTGTGGTTTGCAGCTTTGGAGAGCTGGTCTTGATTGTTAATCGGTATCCGTTCCCGTCATCAAGAAAGTGTGGCCCGTGTTTCAGGTCTGACTCAGGCTATTTCCTTTCTAAAATAAATATTATTACTGTCGTGCAGCTTTTCCTACAGATGTTATCCTGGGAAGTAAATTTAAGTAAAAAAAAAAACATGAAGTTAAATGTGTAGTTCTCTAGGAAGTGAAATTTTAAAAAGGCCAGAATCCTCAGAAGTCTGTCTTGAACCTGTCCTGGTGAAGAGTGTGAGTGAGAATGGGATACAGCAGCAGCGATGATGAAAGGAAGCAGATTCCACAGTTCTGTCGCTGGGCCCTGGCAGGCCCTACCTCCTCTGGAAGGGGCAGTAATGGATATTACAAGTCTTTCCACCTTCCAAGGATAAGTTTTTAGAGGCAGATTTTGGAAACTCAGGGTTTCTGCCACTACTACCACCACCAAATGCAAAGAACAGACCGAACAAACTTCTAACTGGGTAAATCCAAGTGCTCATTTTTATTTAAATGCTGCAGAAAAAGTGATGGGCTGGGGGAGGGAGATGTTACAGAAGCTAGAAGAGACTCACAAAGTAGCACCTACCCAACTGTCCAACTGCCCTTGATCCTAAATTCCAAGAGTCAGGTTAACTATCTTGCTTAAGCTACCCTGGATTTGACTATCTTTTCATGACCTGTCCTGTCCATATTCTTCCAAATAAAATTCGGTATCAGACCACCAAGAGATGGCCGTACACGGCTACAAAACAAATCTTTTTTTTCCCACCAATTTCCTGGTGGAAATTGAAGGAGTAAAATGCACAAATTTAGGGGAAGGATTTTTGTGATGCTGAGCACCTCAGATTTTTAGTTCTGTGGGTTTTGGGGGAAAAAAGAGTAAAAACGTCCGAGCTCTGCAACCAGAAGGATGCCTTCAGGAAAGCATGTACCACGTGGGGTTTTTCAGCAGCCTGACCTATGGCTCCACCTTAGAATCTTTGTGCTGAGACACAGATTGGCCCTCAGGAGAGCCGGGAGCCACCTACTTAGGAAGTAACAGCTGCAGTGAACTTACTGGGCAAGATCCACCCACCTCACCACCCAGCATGATAACTGGAGGAAACAGCTGGAACTGTCGACTGGAGGGGAGGAAGTTCATATATTCACAGCTAGATCTGCAGTTCTTTAGTTCTTTTATTTATTATTAATCCAGAGGAGAAAACAGCTAGTTCATTCAAAATTCTCCTAAAATCTGAAGTTGTAGGTAACAGTTCTTCGCTGATTCATCAATTTGTTTGTGATAAAGATCTACATACTATGTTAAAATATAACAAAGGGATATTTGTAAAGGGGTCTTTTCTCCTACACTTGAAAATGAGCTCTTCTAAGACATTAATCAGTGTTTTATTATCCCGCATCAGTGGTTTTTACTGTCAGATTTCATAAGCTAAATGATATGACAAAATTTCTTTCTACAAATGCCATCTACAGTATTTAATTACTTTTAGCATTTTCATTGTGAAATATACATTAAAATGCATAAAGCAGTAATTCAGTATAATGAGTAATCACAAAAGCAACCTCCATCTGGCCAACCAGGTCAAGAAATAGAGCATTGCCAGCACTGCAGAAGTCCCCTGCTGACCTTCCTCAACACAACTCTTGCCCTCTTTTTCAGAGGTAACCATTATTCTAACTTTTGTGATAGTCATTTCCTTGCTTTCCTCGATTGTTTTATCACAAGCATGCATCCCTAGACAATATGTTGTTAATTTTTCCCTTTTTTTTGAATTTATTAAGTGGAACAACATAATCTGTAATCGGTTGTACTAACTGCTTTTGCTCAACATTGTTTATAATCCGTGTCCTTTTCAGGTTGTTCACATGGCTATAGTTTGTTCATTTTAATTGCCGCATATTACAGTGTTCCACTGTGCAATATGCCATAATTTATTTAGCCATTCTATTGTTGATGGATATCTGGGTTATTACAGTTTGAGACTGTTATAAATGCTGCTGTGTCTTCATATATGTATTCTATCACGACTGAATCAGTTTCTGTATGGTATATACCTGGGAGTGGTAGGTGTTTCATAAACTTGAATAAATCATGCCCAACTGTTTTCTAAAGTGTTATAATCACACCAACCATGTTTGAGTTGCATTGCTCTACATCCTTAACCACACTTTGTATTGCCAGTCCTTTTTGCCAGTCTGGTGGGTGTGTAGTACTATGTCATTCTGGTTTTAACTTGCATTTTGCATTTCCCTGATTACTGATGTTGTTGAAGACCTGTTCACATATCAGCTAGCCATTTGCATTTCCTCTGAAGTGTGGTACTACCTTTTTCATACCTAATCTCTGAGGTGCCCAGTGAGCTGGTGTCATTTGTTGTGATTTAGTTTCCATCAAGTATGTAAAGGCAATTTTTATTCTCTGTGTAACTAAATTCTATTCTTTGTTGCTTTGTATTTTATAGGCAACTATGTTTGTTTCCCCAGCACTTTTCATTTCCCATTTCCATTCATTTTATAAAAGTCACAATGACTCTTTTCTCCTAAAGTTTATGCTAAAATACATGTGTTTTTTTTTTTTTAATTTAACTAATTAATATCAATACATACCACCCATGTTACCACCTGGAGTATTTTCCCAACATATTCTTTTCGATTGTTTTTATCATTCTCTTACCTGTCAATTCTTTGTTTAGAGTCAGTGATATTTCAAAGCTGGAAGAAGATGAGACCCAGAGAAATTAAGTGACTTACCAGGTCAAAAGAGCAATTAACTAGGAAGCCTGGACTTCACCCCAAGTCTTCAAATAGTATATGCCATTATACCATACCTACGCTCTCCATCTTCTGGAACAGTAAGGTAAATTAATTCCCATGGTCTGTAGAATATTGTTCACTTCCACATGGCAATATTGTTCACTTCCACTTTTTCTACCATTCAATAAGGATATTTTAAGCCCAACAGCTTTAGGATCTGAATGAGATTGATACAAATAAAAATATAAGTATAAACTTTAAAGGTTAATATAAATGATAATACTAAAAGGGATTAAATGGAAACTTGCTTTAAAAAAAGTAAGGTTTCTCCACTCCCAATCTGTCATTAGGCCCCATTGCCTCTTCGAAGAATTATCATACTTCTTCAATATCTGAGAAAAGAATTACAAAAAAGAAAACAGTAGTTAGAAGTATCAGATGATGTGAGAAAGGCCCTTGGATTTGATGATCAGGTCCCTAATAATTTCATAATTCTGTTAAAAATGTTGGAGGATATCAGAAGTTAACATTTTTTAGATACAAGAAGAAATCAACCTAGAAAACTTGACAACCATTTGACAGGATTGCCTGTGTTGCTTTCATAGTTATCCGGGTTTGTAAAAAGAGTGTTCTGAAAATGAATGATAGATAATTTCTAGCTTTAGTAGAAAATAAATAACTTTGAATCACTTGAAATCTTTGACAATCTAACCTTAATGTTTGAGAAGAATTCTTTATTTGGTTTTGTAATTAATAGTCACAAAGTATTTTTATCTAATAAAATCTATTATTTTTTAAATTAAATATTGAGTGAAAACAGCCTTAAAGAAATAAATTCATAAAAATGTTAAGGTAGGCTTAGATGTAACTTAACTCTGAACAGCAAAGGCTTTAAAATGTTCTGGCTTGAAATTCAAAGTCGAATAATTAAATTAACAATAGAGAGTTGTCAAAGGTACAAAATACATAAATATTATTCATATATTTTTGTGTTAACTTCAAAAAAGCAGTGATATATAGAAAACATAAAAGTGTTAGAATATCTATCATAAGCATAGAGTTTTCACATTTACTTTACCATTCAGTGAGCAAAAACTGACTTGTCACCTACTGTTTCCTAGCAGTGGACTAAGTGCTTGCTGAACTTAAAATGATGTAAAGAAAACAGACCTTGTCCCTAGCTTCATGGAGCTTACAGTCTAGTGCCTAATATGTGCCAGGCTTGAGACTTCAGACCAGTCGCTATCATCTAAAACTACTTGACCTATATTATCATTGATGATATATTCAATGAATAAATGAGTGACTGCTTTTATTCTCTTGGTAAGCAAATAAATGACCGTGTGCTAGAAACCTTCAATCATTGTCATTTGTCAGATTTTCATTTTGAAAAATACAGAAACATTGAAAGAATAATATAATGTGTGTTGGTACAACTTTCACCTGGATTCGGTCCTTGTTAACCTTTTGCTATATTTGCATTATTTACTTTTTCCAAACCATTTGTAGGTAGGTTGCAAGCATGATGCTTCACTCCAATACTTCAGCAGGTATAACCTAAGAAAAAGGATATACCTAACTCCAACCTTTAATCAGAATTAAGAAAATTAACAAATTTGCCTAGTTGTCCCAATAATATTTCATTCCAGCATTATTGGATATAAGTGACAGATAACACTGTACAAGTTTTAAGGTGTACAACATGATGATTTGATATACCTACATAGTATGAAATGATTACCACAATTAGGTTAGTTAACATATCTGTCACTAAACGTAGTTACCTTTTTTTTTGGAGTGATGACAGCATTTAAGATCTGCTCTCTTAGCAAATTTCAAGTATAAAATGCCAACAGTATCTTTGATAGTTTGTGCCCTCCCCCCAACTTAGATCCAATCAAGGTTCACACATTGCATTCTTCAATCGTATTTAAATGTATATATTTTAAGAGAAACTAAAAACTGGACTCTCCAATATTTGGAAGTAATTGCTTTACATTGTATCATTTCTCTCTTTTTTAAAATGTTATATTTTAACAGTTTAAACTTTTAACATTTTAAACATTTAACACAACTAAGAGCGCGATATATTTTTAGTAAAGAATGATGTTCCTTTCTTCAGTAGCTTTTCACTCACCTTTGACATCACTTACTGCAGCATTAGTAGTTGGGGAGCCATTCTGAGATACTGAGCATTCCACTGTTTTCCAGAAGTAAATGGTACTGTTTCCTTCCATCTTTGCCCCACCATGCCTTCCCTGGAAGGCCCTGACCTTTCTCCCAGCCAAAACCCTTATTACCTCTTTCTGCCCTCCTTGTATTTGTCCTAACTTCCCAGGAACCCTTTCAAGAGCGTCCAACTTTACAGTTGTTATTCTCTACCCACAGCCTCTGCTTAGCTCTACCAGAATCTGCACCTAATTTCCTTTACTAAAACCCTTTCACTAGGAGTCTTTTGCACCAAAACCAACCACCACCACGTGCCACCACTAATGTGTACTTAGCTGATTCCAAAGGGAAGAGAGGACCTAACATTTGTCAGGAACCTAGACCATGGCAATTATTTCATTTGATCTTCACAAATCGCTGCAGAGTAGGTGCAAGTTACCTATATTCCTTTTTCTTCTTCCTGTCCACATAGGAAAACTGTATTTCCCAGCCTTCCTTGCAATGAGGCTAGGGCCATATGATTAGTCTGGCTAGTAGGATGTAAGCAGAAATAATGTATGTCACTCCCAGGCTTGATCCCTAGTCTCCCATGAGATAATCAGCTTGTGATTTCTAACCTTTCTACAATGCTTAGAAGCAAAAGATGTTAAGATATTGGATCACATGCTAGGAGTCCAGATTCCTTAGTTGATGCTTGAAGGAATGCTGTCTGGCCTCAGTCGGGCAGTAAACTGAGCAAAATATAAAATTGTATTGTGTTATAGTGCTGATTTTAATACCAAGTTTGCATTTAGAAACTTAAAGAATAGCAAGTCATTATGTTGGTATTCTAATCTAGTGAGGTTGGGTTATATAAGCTTTTGTAACCAGACATGAGAATACAACCCCCTTTTGTTATACTGTTTTTATAGAAACATGAGTTCTGAGTTCCAATCCAAACTATGAAAGAACTTCTAGAGAAGAGAAAACAAAAATCTGAGGGATTGACTCTTCTGTGAAGGTCCCACCACATATTAGAACATGAGCACCCTGCAGGTTTTAAAGGCTTCTTTTTCAACAAATAGGCTTCCATTTCAAAGATGAAGATACCTTTTATTCCAGGGTTGACTTTTTTTAATAACCAAACCAACTGTTCTCCAGCCTTTTATTCCAGGGTTGACTTTTTTTAATAACCAAACCAACTGTCCTGACCTACCATCTTATATGCTATGACAAGTTCAGAGCCAGCTCTGTCCACTGTTGCTGGCATCCTCTTATTATTTCAATGCCTTGCCCCCAATGGACACTATTATTTCATCAACATAAGACTATTCTATGTAGTGGACTTTTAGGTTGAGGGGTAACAAATTGTTATAGCATAGAACTAACTTATGAAACAACTTCAAAATCGATGTCAGATATAACTGTTTCTAAAATGGTTGGCCAATTGCCACCTTGGAGAATTTTTACTGATTATGTCTTTCCTGAAGTCTCTTCCAATTGCTCTATATTTGCTACTCAACATCCTCCTCACATATCTCCAGAGCAATCTCCTTAAACACATTCCTTTTACTTTATTGAGCAAGCAATTCAACTCTTGGGTCTCCACCTTTTACAAAAATTTCATGAAACTCATTGTTAATAATGTATACAGTTGCCAATAACAGAAAACCCAACTAGCATAAACATGTAGAGGGTTCACTGTTTTTTAATAAAAACTCCACTAATAGGGAGCCCGAGGTTGGCACAGTGGCTCAGTTATGCCATCAAGTACTCACGCTTTGTTTCTGTCTTTGCCATCCTCATTGCCGTTCATGTCATGTGGACCTTTATCACCAAGCTTGTTGCCTAATGACTCACAAATAGGCTGCTGTTCTCAGGAGTCACATCCACATTGCAGACCGGAAAGAAGAAGAAAGGGTGGTGCCTGTGCGAGGAAAAGGTGATTCTTTTCCCAGCGTTTCCGGCACACTGCTGTGTAGGTCTCATCGACAGAGCGGTGCCTTCGAGACACACTGAGATCTAAAGAAGGCTGAAAAGAACTTTAGCTGGAAATTGCGGCCCAAAGAGAAGTTGCAATTCTGTTAATAAAGTGGGAAAAATAAAGAGTAAGAAATTAGCAGTGTCAGACACATTTTGTCTTAGTCTGTCCTGACTGCTATAAGAAAATACCATAGACCGTGTGGCTTATAAACAACAGAAATTAATTTCTCACCGTTCTGGAGGCTGGAAGTCTGAGATCAGGGTGCCAGAATGGTCAAGTTCTTCTATGAGCCCTGCGGGGTCACAGACTGCCGACATCTCGTATCCTCACATGATGGAGAGCAAAAAGCAACTGCTCTCCTAACTCTCATAAGGGCACTAATCCCTCGTGACCTCATCTAATCCTAATTACCTCCCAAAGGATTCACCTCTTAGTACCAGCACATGGGGTGGGGAGGAAATAGGATTTTAACATGTGAACATTCAGTCCCTAACACCCTTAATGATGTTTCTCTTAAAAGGACCATCTACCGCAGAGATGAAATGCCGCTGTCTAAACCCCAGAAATAGTTAGCTACCATCGGTTTTTGTTTTAAATAGCAATTCTCCCCCATTGCTTTGCATGCAAATATCAGTAATATGTAGAAGCCTCTTTTTTGCTTTTTGTAATTTAAATTTTTCTAGCAGTTTAATTTCAGGAACGTTTTTTAATAAATTTGTAATCTCCAGATGGTTGGTTTTAGTCTCTTACGTCATCATTGCAAAACATATTAGTGGTATTTTAAGCTCTTTTTTTAGATCCATGTGTAAGAATGATTAAATATTCATTTCCCTTTTAGAATCAAACCAATGATTATTTTTATTTTTAAAACAATCTGAAACTTGTAGAAAATTTGCAATCACAGTATAAAGAACTTTTTTTGTCTTGAGCCATTTGGGATTTAGTTGCCAACCTGATGCCACATCACCCCCAAATACCTAAAGGGGTATATGTTGGACATTTTCCCACGTAATCACAATACAACCATCAAAATAAGGAAATTAACACTGGTAATTGATACTACCTAATCCTGAGCCCTGTTACATTTTATCATTTGTTTTAGTAATAACTTTTATAGCAAAATAAAGGATACACTTCAGAATGTTTGTTGCATTGAATTGTCACATCTCTGTCTCCTCTAGTCTGAAATGTTTCCTCAGTCTTTGACTTTCATGACCTTGATACTATTTTTTAGCATTTTATTTTATTAGTTTCAAGTATACAGTATATTGGTTAGACATTTATATAGTTTAGGAAATGATCTCCCTGATTGCCTTGATACTTTCGAAGATCACAGCTAGTTATCTTGTGGAATGTCCCTCAGTTTGGGTATGTTTGTGTTTAGCAAGAATGTCACCAAAGTGTCGCTACGTTCTTATCATCTCATCAGGTGATGTTTAATTTCAATTTGTCCTGTTACTGATGATGTTCACTTTAATCACTTGGTTAAAACGATGTCTGCCAGTCTTCTCCGCAATGAAATAACTTCAAAATGAAGTTACTATTTTTCCTATTTGGAATTAATAAGTATTTTGTGCAGAGATACGTTAAATTAATATTCTATTCCTCACCAAACTCTAATTTTACTATTTTATTTATATCATCGTGGGCTCATGGTTTCCTATTTCTGTTAACTATTGTTATTTACTTTGATTCTTCAATTGTCCCATATGTGGCCAGTGGGAACCCCTTCAAAATGGCTTCGAGGTCATTTTGCCTCATCATTCTTTGAGTATTTCTTTTTTCTAGCACAACAAAATGCTCTAGGCTCATGTACTTTCCTTGCCTTAGTGTTGGAATTGGCCATTTCTCCAAGGAATAGTGTTACCAAATAAAATATAGGTTAATCAGTTAAATTTGAATTTTAGATAAATAATAGAGTGTAGCTCTATTATGTCCCGAGCAATTTTCTTATTTGCTAAATATTTGCTGTATTTTTATATATCTGGCACTCTACCAAGGAGCCTTGGTTCCTTTAAGTAGCGAATGGTATGTAGAAGCCACAATCTGGGTAGGTCTGTTGGTTACAATTCGAGTTAACAGCTTTCGCCTCTCTTGATGGACAGAGCCAGGAAACATTTGTACACACACACATTTATACCTATATATATCTGTATCGATGTTATATAGATATAGACACATCGCAATCCATGAGTTCACACTGATAACTTCTAATTCCAATTCAACACCTGAGAGTTTTCTCCCTTTCCATATTATAACTTCTTTCTCCTAGGGTAACAAACCTGACTCACATTATCCATAATACATGTACTTAATTAATCAATCCTTTGGTATAAAACCAAACTCTCATTGCTGCCACTGCCTGCTCGCCCATGAGGAGGCCCTCCTCAGCCTCCTTGTGTCCAGATCCCTGTGCCAGGCAATCCCCACAGGTACACGCCCTCTTCACCCAACTAGGGCCCTGATACCTCACCATTGGCCACCCCACAGCATGGATCCTTCATCCTTCATGGGGTCTGACCCGCCATGATGTGCCACCCCCCATGGATCCACTCCCCTCCCTGCTCGGGCTCACACACCAGGCTATCCTCCTTGTGAAGGCCTCCCCAGACTGCTCAGAACCTGACTCCATACCCATCCTTCTTCCCTGTCTGTACACCCTCCTCATCTTGCTCTAAGCATGAAAATCTTCAGATATAAGTGATACTTAAGTATGAAATATATTACTGTTATTACTCAGAACACAAGCTGAGATTTTCAATGTAAAAGAGGCTTTGATAGAAGCAGCTGGAAAAATAGTCACTAGGGGATATTTTTAATCATTGGCGTTGAGCTGGTACGAACCATTACTTATTGGCTAATAAAAATCCAAGAAATGTTGAAATTAGAAATGTAGACTACTGTTTAAAAACCTGTGTTTCTCTAATTCCTCTTAAAACCCCCTAAAGTAACAGTCAAGAAACAAGAAGGCATAAAAAGTACAAAGAGTACAGGAGATGAAATGACAGCAGAAAAGAGATGTCCAAGAAATTCCTAGAAGGTAGAAAGTAAACAGGGAATAACTAAGAGAAGAAGAAGCTAAAACTTAAGTTCCTGCAATAGAATGTTCAGCAATAGCCAGCCAATTTCTGATGTTGAAGCCTAAAAAATGTCAAAAATTGAAATCAGTTGCCTCTGAAGGCACAGGTGCAGGCAGGGTAAAGTAGAAAACAGGCTTTTTCTTAAATATGAATGGACAGCCAAGAATCACCAGACATTTGAGGAAAGTCTAATGTAAAAAGAAAATTAACCTGGAGAAAACAGACAATATAGAAGAAAAGTATCAAAGATTATGATAAAACTTTAAGATGAAAGACGAGATGGTGTGTGTGTGTGTGTGTGGGGTGTATTATTAAAGACTCTAGTAATAAAAACTTAATAGATGATGTCTTAGTTTGAAAAATCATGACATATCTGGATCTGTATGTTATTTACATGCAAATATTAAGGGGGAAAACAGTTGAAAGTGGTTGTCTCCAAGGATGCCACGCTAGATGAGGGAAAAGGCAGGCGACTTATTTTCTTCCTTCTTTTTAAACAAGTCCGTATGTTTCTTTGATTAAAAACAAGAATTTAATTTAAAAGTTAAGTTTGTGCATATTGAAATATGTGAATATAGCAATTTGAAAAGAAGCAAGCCATGATGGAAAGAACTAGAATTTGACATCGAGATTCAATTCAATGGGCAGTTGGCACTTTTACTGCTTACTAAAGTCTGTACAAATCTCAACGCTTGAGATTCAGCATACACATTTATAACTTAAGGATAATGATACTCACCCTGCTGTTTCAGTTTGCCAGGACTATTATAACATAACGATGCCACAGACCAAGTGGCTTAAACAATAGAAACTTATTTTCGAACAGTTCTGTAGGCCGAAAGTCCAAGATCAGGCATCAGCAGGGCTGGCTTTCCTTGAAGCCTCTCTTTGGCTCGCAGGTGGCCACCTTCTCACTGTGTCCTCACGTAGCCTTTCCGGTCTGGGAGTTCATCCCTGGGTTTCTTCCTCTTATAAATATACCAGTCATATCGGATTAGGGCCCTACACTAACAGCCTGATTTTGACTTTAACACCTCTTTAAAGATCTTACCTCCAGGTCAGTTACATTCTGAGGTACTAGAGATTGGGATTTCAACATATGAATTCTGGAGAACACAATTCAGCTCATTATACCTACCTACTACATTCATTCATTTGCTAAGATTAATGGGCCTCCTTTAATGTTCCAACCTGTGCTAGACACTGAGGACTGAAAAAGGATCAAATGAGGTAATGGTATTTTGGGAAACTAACTTAAAATATAAGAAACATTAAGGCATAGCTCACCCAACCTAATGGCTTTGCTTGCAATAAGTAATAAGTTGAACAAAATTAAATGAGAACAATGGAAAATTTCTAAAAGGGAAAAAAATTAGGAAGTGTGGGAAAAGTTATTGAATAGCAACTATTATTTCTTAAGCACCTGATAAGTGCCAGGCGATGACTATAAGATTTATGTCTGTCTCATTTAATCATCACTACTACCCTGCTGGATCAATATTATCAAAATCAGTTTACTATTAAGAAACTTATCCCTCACCGACTCAGTAATTTCCCT